TAGTAAAATCCTAGAATAATCAAACCCCAAACAACACGAAATTAACTAAATCCGCACGGCGAACAAGTAGTAGCACACATCTGGATATTCATCCACATGTTGTTCACACTGAGAAATCCGAATCACCACCTATACATAGCCAATTAACCAGGATGTCTAAGAAGTAGTGAAAATATACTGACAGCTGCATTTTTAATCCCACCAAATTATATGGTTCTATTTCTGTAACAATTTGATGATGCCTGTAAACTGGCGTCCCTCATGTACTGTACTATGAGAATAAATTTATTTATTTGTTTATATCTGATGGTAATATTCTGTTCCTGCAAGCTTCATTCGACATTTTGTATTCAATGGTTTGCATCCATTCTGGTTCCTGACCGAAATAAACTATGAAACCCACCGGTTGCTGGCTATGGTGTTTCATTAATACTTCACATGTTTAACTGGATACTAACTGCTGTGGTGAGCCTCTCGCAGATTATGTTGTTGAAAACAATTTCAATAGTTGGCTTGTAAGGATTAAATTCATTTCTTACGAGTTGATCATGGGTTGATATCAGTTAGAGAACTACTGAAAACCCGTGAGTACTGGACAGCTGTTTCATCCTAATTCGGAAATCATCGGCAGTACAAGTTAGTAGAAGACAGAATTCATGGGCCACGCAATCGTGTCCCAGTGGCTAAATGGTGAATGAGTTTGCCTTGCAATTGGCAGGTTCCGCGTTCGAACACTGCTGGTGGGTGCGTACTGCTGGTGATTCCCGAAGTAGGATGAAACATCTGTTCAGTACTGCTTGTTTGTTTTCAATGGTCCTCTAACTGATATCAACCCGTGAACGACTCGTGAAAACATTACTGTTGGTAAACAAGCCATTTTTATGCTTTTGTGGATAGCCCACCGTATCGGCCACGTGTAACTCAACCTTCAGCTTTTACGCGCTTGTTTGACAAATTCAGACAATAATGACGCCTAGGATTATATCATTTAAATTGTTTTGACCTACGTAAAGTGTACTTACCGACATTATTCCATTACCTTTCCTCGCATGAATATCCCGTGCAAGTGAAAATTGCAAATATGCTTACTCCTTGTGTATAATATTTGTCATATTGATGATGCCTGTAAAACGGAATCCTTATTGTGCACAAAATGGGATTACATTATTAATACTTTCTTCCATTCCCTCCTCAAGATTTGCCCATCCTCGTGAGTAGAATTAGTCTGCGACCCGCAAGATGTTTGTGCTTGATGTGAGAACTTTCCCAATCCACTGAGGGGCCAATAATGTACTGTCTGAAAAGCAACTCGTGTGAAAGTTGAGGACAGACAATGTGGGTGAGATAACGAGATAGGTGAGATAACCACCTAGCGGCAGCGTCAAAAAGATGTGTGGAATTAGATATCCGCTCTGTTGTCTAAAACGTGCTGTAGGACGCCGTTCCCCCTGCCGAGACACTGACTTAGCAGGAGGTTAACAGGAGAAGAAATTGAACAGCATCTTTTCCTCCGTGTCAGTCTCTGTTCAAAAATCAACTCAAAACTTTTGGCATAGGTAACGGTCTATTCCAAATAATCAGAGAACTATTCAGGGAGAAGTTTTTAGTGTATACGTCCGATACCATCCTACAACGACCATGTTGTTATGATTTCTGAGGCTGCGACTGAGGTGCATTTAATAATTCGCCCTAATGTATGTGAAAGGTGATGGATCAACTTTCAAGGGCAGGTGGCGTTTGGCCTTGACTACCGGCGAATGGCGACACTCATGGTATTCAAAGCCGCATTCTGAGCCAAGGGGTTTCAAGTGAAGTGTCCCTAAACTTTGTCGAGTTTGCTGTTGTCACTTGGCCGAAGTCCACTACGAATGGACAGTATTCTAAATAAGGTGAACACACGCTTTTCACATTCAAAGTCTTATGGAACAAAGGGAAATCGCAGGTGAAGCAACCTAGAACTCTATGTGTTCTATGCCTACTGTGGTCGGTTTGTTCAATATAACATGTAATTCCGAAATCTACAGCTGAGTTAATTTCAGGAGGTTCCGGTCATTTGCTTTGAAAATTAGGTGAGGATCATTATCAGCAATGCAAATCCACCTGCATTTCATGGTGTTTAATTTCAAACAGGGTCTAACTCAAAATAGTGCGTCACGGCTTGTTTCAAGATAAACATTATTCGTCAGGTTGCTCAATTCATGAACATCCGAAGAGTAGACGAAATTAAGGTCGTCGTAGTATAAGAATACTTTACCCGGGAGTAGTCATAAATGCCATTAATGTGGACCGTACATAGAAGTGACCCGAAAACGCTACCTGGTTTAACCTTAATGTTAATTTACCCAGGGCGAAATATACAGGTCTCGTTTTAGTCATCAGTATGCATATTTGGTAATGATAATGTAAAACATGCCAAGAACGTGAGCCACGTTTGATCAGTTAAGCGCACAAAATATCATTAATTTCCACTTGGTCTGCGACCAGCTTGAGGCTCTCGTTCATCCTCCATATCTACTGGATCACTAAAATCATTAAACTAATCCTCGAACTACCACGGTAACTCTCGGCAACGGAGTCTTAGTGATTACTACAGCATCAATTGGTCAACTATTGGAAACATGCAAAGGACCATGGTGACACCTTGAGCTAGAGGCTTCATTACAACACATCGAAGGGCTGTATGACATTGAAGTTGCTGACGTAATATTTACTCGCCTTCACGACTACTCATACTGACGACATATCTGTCGCAGGACAGCAAGAGTATTACCGAGTCTTTAGTCTTTCTAAAAAGGAATGTGTCATCCACGAAAAGTCACTGGGCTTGAATTTCACTAAAAAGTTTTCTGACCCCAACCCGCCCGGTCGGCAGACACGTTTCAGCATTACTACAGACAGTTAGGAATGACCCTTGTGCTCTCACAAGTGTATGCGTATAAGGCACACTGGTGCCTGGGCTAAAACATTTTGCTAAACCTATGGTTCATGTAAGAACTTCCAGTTTATTCCACAGGCACCAGTGTCACTTCTGAAGGCTTTAGACTGACAGGTTATTTTTAAGCGAACAGATTCCTTTACCAAAGCATAGTTTTATAATGCAGCATCCAATCCGAAGAATAATGATGATCTAACTCCACTCTTGAAACACTGACGACAAGTTTCTTCACTGTCAACTGCAAATCTAGATATAAATGGTCTTACTCGTGATTCTTCGCTTAGATGGATATTAAAGTATCAGACTTGTAGCTCGACAATCCCACCAAACTGATGTTTTGTAAGACAATGGCTGAACATTTATTGTGACAGACACTAAGTGGCCTTGAGTGAAGAATCTGAAGAAAGGAATGTGAAAATCCTTGAGTTCATCAGCAAATTGTGTAATGAAATGATTGGGCCATCCCCTAACCCTAACACCTAATACGACAATTAATCCTGTTTCTGAGCGTTACAGGTAGACAAATCAGACGAGCAGAAAGCTTCGATGCAGAACTCATTGAATATTGGATAGACTAAAGTAAAGCTACCCAAAATAACAACCAGCCAAATGACACGGAACAGATCAGACATGGATAATGAGATTACACGATATAATACTGCAGAAATGAGGTGTGCAGATAATCTATGACCATGGTGCAAGCTTAAAAATACCAATCATGCGACGTCTTATGATTCGTGTGACAACGTTTTACATGAATGAATGGAGTGGTTAGAGACTGTCTCCATCCAGCCTTATTATCAACTGCAAAACATTCTTCTGCTTCTGTTGATTCGTTGCACGGGACACACATCAATTCCATGGAATGATTCTGCTGGGATTCAACCGGTAAACTATTTTGAAATACAGTCATCTCTATTTTAGGGCTGACGGTATCGACGTTCGCGAGTTGTACGGATTATACTAACGCAAGATCTTATACCAACAACTTCTATAGTGTTCGTTCTTCGAGTACCAAATGGTAAAGCAAAAGACCGAATTTTGTCGTCCAAAGTACGTTTTATATTTCGGGACAAAATAGCGGGTAGAGGTGAATGCTTAGCTAGCTAGTAATCGTGCACGCACGTGACACGACGGAGCACCAAATGGCGGGGATGCTTGACCGGAAGCCTTCAGCTAAACAAGTCGACTTAAACAGTGATGGTCAGCATCCAATGTTGAGTGATGATTGCTGTGGTTAATAATTTTGGGGAATTATTTACTGCTACACTATGAATTAATGGGGAGTAATTAGTTGGGATTGACAGAAAAATCCCCGGTGACGAATTGGAAGGCATTTCTTGATCACAGCCTGTATTACCCTCTGTGTAATTTTGTACTACATCTTTCATAATCCATAAATCCTTCTGCGTAAAGTACGTATTTTTACTATGTGACCAACTAATTATTTGTTCAACCAGGATAGAAAACATAGGCACCAAGCCTTCTATCCTCAACCAATAAATCTGAATCTGAATGTCAGCTTGTGTCGCCGTGCTTTGTCTCGTGATGTGACTGTTTTCTCATTGTCATTCGATTGCTAATATCTTCACCCAATGATGATGCCCAGTGAAAGTATGAAGTAAGCTTCATTTGCATTCATGTTGCTTAAGCCATAATGCCACCATATACAACCGAGGCACCGGGTAATTCGGCTCTGAAGGTCATGTTCGGTTTGGGATCTGCCCCTCCTAAACATGATCCACCAGCCTCAATGGAACCGTACGATCTCGGAAGAGATGGAGATCTTGGTGCTCTCAGTAATGCTCAACAAGGAGCGACAAATAAACTCAAGGTTTACACTGATAAACTTTCTTACTTGTTAGACTCAAACACGGTTAAGTAATGAACAGTATTTGTGGCAACATCCGGAAGTGAAGTATATGGTGACAGCATTTTTAAGGTATGGAATATAAGTGTTTGTTATATTTTGCAGGGATATATTGACTAAACAGCCTGAAAATGCCCGGGAACACTTCGCTGGTAAGTGGATCAAAAAGTATACATTTTCAGACTTTTTCACCAGCCCAGATCTTTTAAAAAACATCAAGACAGTCGAAAAGGAGTATGCGGAGATGTATCACGATGATGGCGTCATACGTTCTCTTGCTAAAGAAGATCTTGATTCGGAGGTTTAATCTGTAGTTTTTAAAAAACAAGAGAATTTCATATAACTGGAATCTAGGAGTTCTGTAAATACAATTGTAATTATAATCTGTGTTAATCTCAAATATACACTGGAGGATGGTTAGGTGTATTTAGTTACACCTTTCCCCACGACACTATATTGTCGTCAAACTGCAAAGTAGTGGTCAAGAATTCCAAGTGTAATTAATGTTACAAAGAATAATTTGGACAATATTTCACTAATATGTTGGACAAAGTGTTGAGATATAATATTTCATGAAAATAAAATTGATTCAGTCCCAAGCTTTTTCTCTCAAGAGCGTTTAACCTGGTACATACAACACTTATGGCATATTCAGATTTCATATTTATTGGTTGAGGATAAAACGCTTGGAGCCTATTTTAATCCTTTTCTAGTAAATTTCTGTGCTGTTCTAAACCCTTCTTGAATGAATCAGTTGAGGTTTCAGATACCATTTCTTCTGGGAGTCGGTTCCAAGAGTTTATGACTCGGTGTGAGAACCAGTACTCAACAGAAATATGATTTCTTCTTGGCTTTTGAACTCTCCTGCTATGTCCTCTAAGGTGTTCCGACTGGTGGGAAAAAAAGAAAGAATAGGGCAGGTCCGTAGTCATTATTTGAAATTTTAAACATTGTGATCAAATCTCTCTGCCTACGGTATGTATGATAGGGAGAAGAGATTTAAACTGTCTAGTCTTTCCTCGAATGATAAATTAGTCATGCCGATTTCCCTAAATCTATGAAAACCAATGGGTCCAGATAATCTTCATCTTTTGTCCCTTAATTCGAAATTTTCTAGTATGTATTGTGTTCCTCAGTGTAGCTTATGATGGTAAAAATTGGTTGTGTGAAATGAGTTCTTGACCGAATAAATTCTCTTTTTGTTATGACTGTAAGACATGGCCATTAAGAATTGAAAAACTTGAAAGGTTAGCCTTGTTTTGACTACAGATATATACGTCCTGTCTGCTGTGTTAGAGGGTTAATGTGGTGAGCAATTTTGGGGATTATGCGTAGTGTTAGGTGAACAGGGGGGGAGGAAGTCAATCTGTGAGGTTACTAAACTACCTTGATTGACATGGTTGGGACACGTCACGCACGACGGGCCACCACCTTTCCCCGACGAGCAATTTCAACTGATATAGGATTAGTCTGGGAAAGAATGAGGAGTGGTCATTTCAAAGCCCAACATTAGTTCATAAAGTATTTGACAGCTGGTTTGGGCGAACTACGTTGATTTAAACCAGACTTGTAGAGAAGTGTAGATTACCAGGTTGGGATCCTTGGGATGCCAAGTACCAATGACTGGAAACTGTTGATGATATGACTCAAAGTCGTTGTCAATGGCGCAGATGTAATAACTCCTTGCAATCCTCGAGATGCGTGAAATCCTCATGCTTTTCGATGTTACCATTAATAATAATATTAATAATTTACTTTATTCCAAAACAGTACTTGTGATACAGAATGGACTTCTCAGCATTTCACTACAGTATTGCATACAGTTTGTGCATTAACAATAAATAAAATTCTACATAGATTATGGGTAATCTCAGTTAATTTTGACAACAACATATTAGCATATCGGTAGCAAAGCCAAAAGTGAACAGAATGTTTGAAGGTGTTAGAAAAGCAGATACTAGCATATTTACTGGCGTAAGCGGTAACAAATGTCGAGATATGCAGAGTGTGAAAGAACGAAGATGAATGTTTCAAGTGAGGTTTGTAAGAAAGAGAAAAAAGCAAAACAAAAAAAGAGAAAACGTATCTATAAATGATATGAGTTGGAAAGACGAGATCCAATTGTTCTACTGACTATTTAATAAGTTATAGGTAGCACGCCTAATGCTTTCTTTATCGCACAGAACACGAGCTAAGTAGGGTATGGTTGAGTTTTTGTACTTGCTAGTACGAGCATATAGTTTTCTATTTAGGCTTCTGGTCCTGCCTGATGAGATACAAGGGGAGAGTTGTGAATGAAGAGGGTGGTGTGAGTTAGATAGACTGGATTTAGCCCATTTTTCGCATGAGTCCAAGTGCCTGTCGACCAGAATATTAACAAGCTAGTTAAGTGGCACGTTGCTTACCCTGCTGACAACCTTTAACATCCTGCGTAATAAGATATAGTCCTTCTTCAGTAGCCCTGGAAAAACTCAGGGGGAACAATAGAGAATAATAGGCAGGATGCAAGAGTTAACGAATCGTAAGAGTAAGGGTTGGGTTATTCCAGAATGTCTTAACTTCTTGGTGTAGAAGGTAAGAGGAAATATTTTCTTAGAAATCATCAAGATATGAGACGACCAGGAAAGATCAGCAGATAGAATGACGCCAAGATATTTAATTTCCGTCTTGGTCTCTATTTCAATGCTATCTACGTTGCATACCTCGTGAGTGCTAACCAGTTTGTTTAGGTCAGCTTTATGCCTAAAGGTGAAATTGACTATTTGACATTTAGAGGGATTCAAGGTAAGATCGTTTTTCATGGACCACTGGCTGATTTCTGATAAAAAGCCATTTGGTTTTGAGCAGTCACTTTGACATTTGACAGGTAAAGATACAGTCAGATCGTCAGTATATTTAACAAAATTAATGTCATTTAAAGATCATTTGTCATTCTTTTTGTTGTACAGTTTTGCTCATTATAGTATTTTTGAACTCCTTTCTTTTCTCTACCTTTGGGTTCTAAACAGAGTGTGGTGACTTGAATTAGTGCACTTTTGTGCATAGTTCTATGCTGAAATTCAGTCAATTGGTCTTTTGAGTTAAACAGACTTAACTTAGTGGTGGCAGATTAACCAACCATTAATTAAGAGGCCTAAACGGTGGACGGTGAGTGGACATGAGATTCTGCAGATGTGAATCAGTGCAAGTTGATGCACATCAGTGTTATATGTAAAAGTAGAGGAAAGGAATATACTTGTACTAGAATGGACAGGAATTTTCAGGGGATATAACTTCGTAATGCTTTTCAGATTTCGGAACATCATAAGTGGTGAACGCATCCGTAGCAGAGTTAACGATTTGAAGCCATGTCGAACAATATTGTCGTACCACCCGACTGGCTTTATCACTTCTCTTCCAGTGAACAGGTCTCCTTTTGTAGTCTCTCTCTCTTCACCTCCTTGAGCCTGAAAAGTAGCACCAACCGTTCTCGAATAAACGTGAATCGTATTCTGACACTTAATAAAAAATGTATACTATGTAGTCGAACTTTCTCAAATAAAAATTGGTTCCTAATACCCTGAGGATCGTAGTTAGTGACTACCTACATGTCGTCGTTGGTTGACAACTGGATGCACAACAGGTGCAGTTTGGAAATTGGTGAGATTTCGTCAGCTACCAGTGGTATATAATTGTGGTGAGACTTATACAGTAATGGAGTCACTGCATTCAGTTACTTCATTTCCTATACCTAAATCAGCACCCTGTGTAAACCAGTCCTACATGATTATCTCTCGCTTCACATATGCGTATCTCATGCTCAGAACTTCCAGAAGACTCTACATTTTCTATCAGAATTATTATCTGCACTACTTAGGTCAGTTACTTCTCAGGTAGCCGGTCAGATTTCCACACAAAATCAAAATCCATAATATGTATGAGTAGTTTTTAGTTAACCTTATGACCTTATAACCTTGCCGTCACTTCATAGGATCACTTTCCATAGGCTCTTATGCTGATGATGAGCTTAAGCAGAGTGTCTTAGTGCGTACCATTCATAACAAGGCAGCTGTCTTCTTTGACTAACAGAGATAAGGAACAACCTGATGTTAAATTATCCGGCTAAAGTGAAATCCAGTTTCTTGTGTATTTCAGCACTTGTCGAAAACTACGTTCCATCAATGTTCCCATCATAATCTCAGCTTGTTTAACCCTATTTCACTGCGTCTCCATATCTGTAAAGCCCAGGGCAGTAGGCACTATAGTGGATCAAGTTAATCCTACAAACATTTACTCCCTTTTTTTGTGAATTCGGATGATTAGCGGAATATGGAACGGAAATTATGTTGAGTTCCTTAGTTAATTTCATATTAAACAAGTATAATAATATTATGGGTAAATCTCAGCTACTGTAGTAGTATGTAATTCCATATTAATTTGTTTATTAGATATGTCACACAGTGAGACAGTACTATTATTTACTGGATGACGTTTCTAGCACACAACTTATTGTTCATAATGTCCTCATGAATTATGACCTCACAACTTTGAAACTCTCGTTTTGTAGTTCTCTCTGTTCTTTTCTATTCGTAGTAGGCGTGGTGGAATTTTCCAGATGTTAGGGTGGACAGGTGTTGGATCATTCGTGTTACACGTATTTTCAGTTGATTTGATAAATAAAGCTTACGTTAGCAACATATCAGCGTGGAGGGAGAGGTTGATAACTGAAACGTGTAATAAGAATGATGCAACACCTGTCCACCCTGACATCTGGAAAATCCTACCACCCCTACAACAAATAGAAAAGAACGGAGAAAACTACAAAACGAGAGTTTCGAAGTTGTGAGGTCATAATTGATGAGGAGATTATGAACAACAAGTTGTGTTCGAAACCTCGTCCTCCAGTAAATAATACCGAGCGATATATCTAATATAGAAAGTCAAAACAAGTGGTGATTCAGCGATGAGACTCTTTTCAACAACGAATTTATTATCAAGCTGTACAATCATATATACTTATGGCCTTTTTAAGAAGTTATATCCAGCGAGGGAATTGAATCATAGGTGTGAATGCATAAAATAATAATATTAGTAGTAGTATGAAATGCAATTAAAATGTTCGTGATTATAATCATGGTTAAATGTCAAGTAGCAAAACAATGTCATACACAGAATAATACATAGGATGGATAGAACTTGGAAGGGGTGTACAGTTATACGATTAGTAGACAAATCGAATCAAACAGAATTGATTGAGAATAACAAATTAATGTGGAATTAGATAAGTTTCTTTAAAATATCACACAGTGATGCAGTATTAATAACTGGACGAGGTTCCTAGCATAAATTATCGCTCGTAATCATACTTCGTCACACGGCTTCACGATTTGTCTGATATATCTATACACTTCTCTCTCTCTTTCTCCCTCTTGTTGTTTGTTGTCACTTTCCATATCTCCGGTATAAGCGTCGCATGATTTCGATTGCACGTGTGCGGTGTGGAACGGGTGAACGAAGATTCAATGAATAGCCCCTGTCTCTCCCTTTCTCAATCTAACTATATTACATTTTAATACCCCATCACCCTATCGTGTGATTACATGCAAATGAATGTAATGCA